AGTGAAATATTAAATATAAAAGGATAAATTAGAGAATCTGTACAAATTAAAAAAAAAAAAAAAGAGTTTCTGTGTTAGGTGCTTATTAGCCAATGAAGTCAGCCACACTTTTGGTTCTGAGCATAAAGATTGTTTCCACAATTATGAGCCAAAATTCAAAATCAAGACTTTAACATACAATATATCATCCACAAGCACCGATGTGCAGAATATGTGTTGTTCCTAGCACAAAAGGACATAATTAAATAATAAAAATTAACACAATAAATTAATAAATTTATTATAAATTAAAATAAATAAAGAATTGGTATTTTTTACCTTGATCGTCAAAGAATTTAAGATTAAAATCACGTTACCATATCTCACGATGTAAAGATTATCTAATCATTAAAATAGTTTTATCATAATTTTAGGTGACTAGCTCAAGGCACAACTAGGTTGCTTTTTTAAGACGATAAATGTCATCTGTAAAATTTATCTAATGCAACGGATAAAAAATATATTGCACGTCATCTCGGAGATACAATAAGCTCGGTCACCTTACAATGTCTTAACAAGTTGCACTACTTGTAAGACTTGAAATTCTAAATAAAATTAGCACCACTCTTACCCAAGCATAGAGCCAAAAAATTATATGGCTTTTGTAGTGGGAGGCTAAAGAAACAAATATGAAAGAAATATTTTTTCTTCCAAAGCAAAGCAAAAACTTGTTGTCCCATTTTTCTTCTCAAGTAGAGTACATATATATACATGGGCAAGTTAAGCAACCATTTGAAGAATTTAATTTATTCATTTAAATAAATTAATGGCTAATATAATGAATATTAAAACTCAATAAAAGAACATTAAAAAATTCAATGAAAAAATGTTACAAATTAATGAAAAGGACCATTGATCTTTTATTTCAAATGTAACGGTTTGAAACCTTTTTTAATTTATTATTATTATTTAATATAATTAATATTTTAATAAAAAATACTCCAACAATCCTCCACTTATTTTTTAATAAAATGTTAGCCATATTTTTGGGTAAGTAAATGAACATAATACATAATAAGGGTGTCAATGGCTTGAACCCTTACTTAGTGTTTCAACAATATTTCTCTCAAGCCAATAGTAAATATTGTCTTGAACTAAGGCTTTTTAAGCGAAACAAATATTGTATCATATATGTATTATATCCAGGTACTTTGCGACGAGTTTCGAGCCAGCACATTAAAGGCCTTGTGCTTGATCTCGGCTTTTATGAGTGTTTGAGAGAATTAACCTTATTCTCATATGAAGCACCCCCACTTCCTCACTCATATAGGTGTGTCTATCAAGGATGTTCCCATAACTCTAACATCCTATCCAAAAAGAACTATAGACCACACTAAAAGTTTCATTTAAAGAAACTTAACCTCTCTCGTCGTTATAGGATTCATGCACTACAACATAAGGATAGACATATGAGTATTGTAAACTCAAATAAATTATGAATGTAATCAAACCACTCTATGCTTGTTCTTCTCCTTGAACCTAGTTCTTGGGATCTCCGAGTCCTTAGGTAGAGTATCCACACATGTGATTTTATTCATTTATGGGCTTAGTCTAATCCCCCTTGATGTATCATCCAGATCCTTTGACCTTAGCTAAAGATTTATTCCCATAATATTCAATATACATCCAAAGGATTAGGTAATTAGCACTTAATCAATTTATTAGTGCTAAAACAAGTGGTAGGAATTTTTCATCCTTACTATTTTAGACAAAGCAAAACATTCATTTATTTTCTTTTTCATTAGCATCCGTTAGCTTTTTCATTGGCTTTGACTTTTTAGTTAATTTAAGTTTCATCATACATGTACTTGAGCCAATGGTAAACATACTATTTATTTTTTGCATCCCCATCATTATGCTAAAATATAATGGCATCATTGTATTTTCTAATACAATGGAAAATATTTAATATAATCACACTTGAAGTGAATAGGGACATTTTTCGATCTCTAATTTCTTATACAAATTTGACATCATTGTATCTCATCTATACAATATGAATGTCAATACTTAGTGAGAGATTTAAATTTTTTAAAATATCACCAATTGTCCGTCATTACAATACCATTGCATTTTAATTATAAAATAGGAGTGTTTCTAATTTCACTTATCGAATAATATCATCAAAACACCATTGTACCTTAATTGTATAATAGGAGTGTCACTAATTCCATCAATTCTCTCAATATTTTTGCCAAATATTCCATAAGCATCATTATACATTTTGCATAATAAGAATGCTTTTACCAAATATTTCACAAGCATCATTATACCTTTTGTATAATAGGAATGCTTTTACCAAATTTTTTCATAGGTATCAATATACCTTTTGTATAATAGGAATGCTTTTATAAATTTTTCCAATAGCATCACATTAAAAATTTACATATGGTAAATAACTCAAACATCATGAGAAAAATTATGATCAATAATTTATCATCACAAGAGAATTATGATAATTTATCTTGAATTACATAATAATTTCCTCAAACAAAATTTTAATGTAATAACATTTTTTTATGCCCTCACTATTGACATAATGAATAATTTTCTTGCTACCACCATAGACAAAGTGATGACATGAATTATTTTATTATTTCGTTATCAATTTTCACAATTTATTTCTTGTGACCAACCAATTAAGAAGTTATACTTCTTTAAAATAAGATAACATATCAAATTTTATTTTCCACATTGAAAATATTACATGATAAGCTCTTTATTAATTCATTTACCTTGCCAATTTATCTTACTATCTACTAACAAGATTATTATTTCCATAATTAGATATGGTTGTCAAACATAAATTATAATGACAACTTCAACATAAATCACTTAAAAATAATTAGCTTTCAATCATAATTGATTAAAATTTTATTAATACATGACCTTTCAAATATTAATAAATCAATCATATGAACCAACCTTTTAGTAGTATTTAATTTACAAAATATTCAATAAAAGATTTTATATAATAATTCACATTCCCCCTTCGATTTTTTTTTTTTTTTTGGATTATACACTTATGCATCGATCAAAAAATATCCATACAAAAATAAAAAATTACTTGTAATCATAAGTATCACGAGACTTTCATCATAAAAAATGAATATCAAATATATAGAACAAAAGTCAAAATAATTTAATAATTCACTATTTAAAATACTCACTTGACTTTTTATAATACTTATCGTATCGTTGGAGATTTTAAATACTTTTTATTGACCAAGCTTCCATTGCCTCCAATGCCACATAAATTTGATTTCCTTGACTTTGAATATAAGATTATCAATATATCCGTATAAAAATAATGGATATATTTTTTTCATTGATTTCTCATTGTCACATGACATCACAACAAAAAAAATACTTTTAATGTCAAAACAAGCACTATTAAATTATTTGTGTGAATTTTATTACTGGTACAAATTTAAATAATTTGAAGAATGATTAATTTTCAACACTATCAATATTATTGTCCTTGAATAATAATATTTGATAGGTAACCGTTAGGTACAAAAAATTAACATTACATATCAATATATTTGTCATGCAATTTATCTCATAAATATTCACATAAAATATATTAGCAAAACAATAATATATAATTTTCCATTAAACATGATCTTGATATTTCATTAGCCATATGGCAATGATAATTTTTTTTTTCAAGAGCAACGCAATGACACGAATAGAGGATCGACATTGAAATATGTTTATTGTCTTTAAAGCCCAATAAAATAAAGAATTAACAATACATGTATATTTCCACATATAAAGAATCATCAATTCACCCATAACAATATATGGTTAGGAGGTAAGAGTAAAATAAGATAATAAATGAAATGATTTTTTTTTTCACATGGCTAATTAACATCTATAAATTTATTTTCAATTAATAAAATTTGCTAGATGTACACAATTAACTAAGATGTCGGAAAAATAATATTTTTTTTTAATACTTGCTTTATTCTTAATTAAGTAGAACCATCAAACACCAATAAAAAACTACGGTAGGTAAGTAATGACTTTGACATTATAAAAAATATATATATTAAAAATTTTCATGCCCCAATTTATTTTCAATTTTAATCATTAAATTACATAATGGCATCGTCTCAAATTGTTGTTCCTAGCACACAAAAGGAACATAATTAAATAATAAAAATTAACACAATAAATAAACAAATTTATTGTAAATTAAAATAAATAAACAATGAAAATTTTTTACCTTGATCATCAAAGAATTCGGGATTAAGATCATGTTATCATATCTCACGATGTAAAGATGACTAAACCATCAAAATAGTTTTATTATAATTTTAGGTGACTAGCTCAAGTTACAATCAAGTTGCTTTCTTAAGAAGATACGCGCCATTTGTAAAATTTATCTAATGCAACGAGATAAAAATATATTACACGTCATCTCGAAATACAATAAGCTCAGCCATCTTACAATGTCTTAACAAATTTGCACTACTTGTAAGACTGAAACTCTAAATAAAATTAGCACTAATCTTACCCGAACATGGAGCTAAAAAATTATATGGCTTTTTTAGTGAGAGGCTAAAGAAACAAATATGAAAGAAATATTTTTTTCTTCCAAAGCAAAGCAAAAACTTGCCGTCCCATTTTTCTTCTCAAGTAGAGTACATATATATATATATATATATATATATATATATATATAGGCAAGTTAAGTAACCGTTTCAAGAATTTAATTTATTCATTTAAAGAAAGTAATGGTTAATATAATGTATATTAAAACTCAATAAAAGAACATTAAAAAATTCAATGAAAAAATGTTACAAATTAATGAAAAGTACAATTGGTCTTTTGTTTCAAATGTAACGGTTTGAAACCTTTTTTCATTTATTATTATTATTATTTAATATAATTAATATTTTTTAAAAAATACTCCATCAATCCTGTTGGGCACTGAAAGCGAAGAAAATGCGAAAATGCATGACTTGGTTCGTGATGTTGCTATTCAAATAGCATCGTCAAAAGAATTTGGTTTCGTAATAAAGGTTGGCATTGGGTTAAAGAAGTGGCCAGGGAGTTTTGGAAGCTTTGAAGATTGCACAACTATTTCGTTAATGGGCAATAGACTGAAAGAACTTCTTGAAGGATTGGTATGTCCACTGCTCAAAGTTTTGTTATTAGAATTGAATGATAGCGTGGATGTTCCATGTAAGTTTTTTAAAGAGATGAAAGCGTTAGAAGTTTTGTCTCTAAAGGGAGGGTGCTTGTCGTTGGAATCACTTAAATGCTCAACGAACCTTCAATCTCTGCAATTTATTGAGTGTGAATGCGTGGACCTAATTTCGTTGAGAAAGCTGCAAAGACTTAAGATTCTTGGTTTTCTGAGCTGCTACTCGAGTGAAGAATTGCCTGAAGAAATAGGGGAGCTCGAGAGCGTAAGGTTGATGGATTTGACTGGTTGTACCGGTCTAAGAAGGATTCATGTGAATTTGATTGGAAGGTTGAAGAAGTTAGAAGAACTGTTGATTGGGTCTAAAAGCTTTATGAAATGGGGTGTTGGTGGGACAAGCAGAGGAGGAATGAATGCAAGCCTAACAGAACTAAATTCATTGTCTCATCTTTCTGTATTATCGTTGAGGATACCAGAGACCAAATACATTCCCAGAGATTTTGTTTTCCCCAAGTTGCTTAAATATGAAATCCTAATAGGAGGGGATACATGTTTAAGGTGTCAAACCTCGACAATTTTGGCTTTCGATTCTATCAGCATCACATCCCTAAATGCAAAGACATTTGAGCAGTTGTTCCCTAGTGTATCTCGATTTTATTTGAAGGGTGTGGAAGGCTAAAAAAATATAATGTGGTCCCCTGATCAGATTACCACGCATGAACAGCAACAGGGGTTCTTACAAGGGTTAGAATTTGTAAGGGTTAGCTATTGTGGGGATATTTGATCTCTGTTTTCAGCAAAATTGTGACGAGCTTTGAAAAATCTAAGGAGAGTGATACTCTATAAGTGCTTTGCATTGGAAGAGGTATTTGAATTGGTGAGGTTGATCAAGTAAGCCATGAGGAGAAGGTGTTGCTGCTGTTATCTTTAACGGATTTAAAATTGGTATCCTTATCTACGCTCAAGTATACATGGAAGGGACCTACCCGACATGAAAGCCTCCAAAGTCTTACTTATCTGAAATTGTGGCATCTCTGCCAACTCAAATTCATCTTCACACCGTCCCTGGCTCAGAGTCTACCACAACTAGAAACACTTGAGATAAAAGATTGCAGTGAATTAGAGCATATTATCACAAGTAAGGATGATAATTATGAGGGGGAAATAATTCCAAACTCTATTTGCTTCCTAAAATTAAAGACACTCTTCGTATGCATTTGTGAGAAACTGGAATATGTCTTTCCATTGTCTGTGGCTCCAAGTCTTCTGAACCTCGAAGAGTTACATATTGTAAGTGCCGATAAATTAAAGAAATATTTGGTAGTGGAGAAGGAGAAGATACACCCACAACTGATGGAGATGGCATCATCATGTTTCCTCAACTAAGAAAGTTGGAGCTTTGTAGTTTCAGATCAAATCTCAAATTTTTTGGTTCAAACAATTTTGCTGTCGAATTGCCTTCTTTGCAACATCTACAAATTGAGGGCCTCAACCAATTGGGTAATTTGTTGGCAAAGCTGCTGGTGCGTTCTTTAATCTTTCTCCACAATTTTTTTTTTAATTTTTATTTTAGAAGTACAATTTTAATATTTAATTTTAACACAACATCAGTACATTATGGTAATTTTCTTCTTTCTTCATCTAAATCTTCTAGAATTGAAATAAATGCTCATAGATCCTTTAGAATTTTTATTGTTTGCACATTTCCGCAATCTCTTAGAATGTTTGTTAATTCTTTTGTTTATTTCAGACTTTCAGTTCCAGATAATAGTTCATTTAAGCATATATACAAGAGGGTGGTTTCCTGTAGCATAATGGGAAATCCTTATATCCCATGATGTCTTTGAAGAAAAATACACGCAATAGATCTCACAGTTACATGCACTGTTTATTCATGTCTTTCTGTTTACATATAATTATGATGCGAAAGGATTATTGAAAAAAAAATATATATAATTATGGTGCGAAAGAATTATTTTTTTTAAAAAAAATCAATGCCTACTTTTTTTAATTTTTAATTTTTGACCAAATTGGAAGGCCTTCTAAACATATGCCATGGATAATTATTAAAAAGAAAGCATACATCCTTAACACATGTTTCTTTTTTAATAAAAAATGCTTATTATAATGATGGCTGCCATAGCAAATTAATGGAAACCAGTCTAGCTATTAGCAAAACATAAATAAAATTTTCACTGGCTTGCAACTGCCACGAGTCATCATTACACTGAACAGCTTACCATTTCTTCTCATTAATGATATTCTATTAGGTTTCAAAATCAAGGCTAGAGATCAAGTTTATAGAGTAAAATCCAGGTTTAAAAATAAGCTAACATTATTAGAGTTATAAGCTAGTCAAATTCTTGTGATTCTTTTCAAATAAATCTCATTGGTTTAGGAATAATTAATTTTAGTTTCAAAGTAAAAATCACTACGAACTATAACCAACAAAATTTAACCCTTGTTTTCTTTTGATGCAAGGCTTAACAAATTTGAGAAATTTAAGCATTGAAGATTGCGAAGGAGTACAAGAGGTAATGCAGGTTGGAAATTTTGTAACTAATAGAAGAGGGGGCATGAGCTTTCACTCTTGAGTTTGGAAACATTAACGTTAATCTCTTTGCCGGACTTGACGAGTATATGCAAGGGTCTCGTGCCCATCCAGCATGATAGCCAGTCTGCTTCAACTGAAAGTTCTAAAGATGTCAAAGTGTAAGGAATTGGAGGAGATCATTGCCAAGGATGGTGATGACAAGAATCAGATATTGTCAGAAACTCATCTCCAATCTTTATGCTTCTCAAGTTTGTGTGAAATTGAGGTCAGAGAATGCAACAAGTTGAAGAGTCTCTTTCCAGTCATCACCGTGGCAGGACTTCCACAACTACAATATCTCAAAGTAAGAGACGCTCCTCAATTGACGAACGTATTTGGACAGGATGATAAAGCCTCATATGTCAATGTTGAGAAAGAGATTGTGGTCCCTAATCTGCTGGAGTTGTGGCTAAAAGATTTACCAAGCATCGTCTGTTTCGGCCTTGGATGTAAAAATTTCTTATTCCCACGTCTACAAAGGTTTATGGTGGGAAATTGTGTGCTAACAATCAAAATGCAGAGCCCATTGAAGATGCAAGGAAACAAATGTATGTTGCAATCAAAAACCTCCAAGCTTCTTGTATGCTGTTGGGCACTGAAAGGGAAGAAAATGTGAAAATGCATGACTTAATTCATGATGTTGCTATTCAAATAGCATCATCAAAAGGATTTGGTTTCGTAGTAAAGGCTGGCATTGGGTTAAAGGAGTGGCGAGGGAGTTTTGAAAGCTTTGTAGGTTGTTCAGTTATTTCGTTAATCGGCAAAATACACTAGATAAACTCCATGAAGGATTGGTATGTCCACAGATCAAAGTTTTGTTCTTAGAATTATTTAAGTTTGCTGATGTTCCAATTAAGTTTTCTGAAGGATGAAAGCAATGGAAGTTGTCTCTAAAGGGATGGCGTCACTTGAAGGCTCAACGAACCTTCAATCCCTGGAGTTTATTCACTGTGAATGCAAGGACCTCATTTCGTTGAGAAAGCTGCAAAGACTTTAAGATTCTTGGTTTCCGGGGGTGGTCCTCCATGAAATATTACCTGAAGAAATAGGGAAGCTCAAGAACCTAAGGTTGTCGGAATCATCCACGCACCAGTTCCCCAGGAAACTTTCCCTGTTGGCCCCGCGTGATCGAGATACCGGCTGAGCCATAGTTCTTTTCAAGACATTTATTGGAAATGAACCTCAGACTATAATATGTTTGATAGACTATTAAATTGTGCTGACGCTATTTCTGCTTAGACATAAAAATAAGACCCATCATTAATTAATGTACTTGTTCATAAATCCTATTATTTATTTATTTATTTTTAAATAAATAAATAAATAATAAGTGATATATATAGAAAGTTTAGAATGATTCATTCCTTTTAAAATTTAAGTTTTTGAAAGAAATTCAAATTTAAATGGTGAATTTATTATATTTGCAGAGACTCTTAAAATTCTATCGAAGATTGTGGTATCCAAAGTACTTAACAATTAAAAAAAAAAAGTTGCTAATATTTCGCTGCTTAGTCAGCAAGCGATGATTCAAGAGTCTCAATTATTAATATTAATAATAAAATTATATATTATTCTTATTTAATGCCACTTAGACTCTTTAATGAAATTAATTTACACGTACTGACACGTCAGAAAGCATGTTTCAAAATGAACGTGCCCTCATTCATGTAAATTTAAATTGGGTCAAAGGTCCAAAAAGTCCAAGAGATCCTAGTTGGCTATTCGGTATGATCACGAGAGTCAATCTGAGTATTTAATAATACATCATCTACTTGGAGAAGAAAATGCGCAGTATTTAACTTCCCAGCTGTTCATTACTTAAAAAAGACTTAGCTTCTCCCATCTTCTCGGTAAGCAAATTCTTTCTTTTTTATTGTCTTTTATTTGTTGCCCTCTTCTTCTATTGTAATTGCATTTGTGCCATTGGGTGCTATTATGTTATATCACCTTTTTGGCTCTTCTTTTTTGTTGTTTTACTTGCACCTTTGTTTGTCCTTTATAGACATTTCCTTTTCATATTTAACAATGTATTTAATACTTCTGATCTTCAATTTTCTTCTCTGTTTCTCGCCCCTTTTCTGGTTCATTTGTCTTATTTTGTTTGTCTTTTTTGAACATTTTCTCTTCATTTTTTACATCGCATTTAATGCTTATAATCTTGAATTTTGTTTTCATCTTTTACATCGCATTTTAAAGCTTCTAATCTTGAATTTTTTTTCTTCTAGTCTTTCATGTTCAGAATGGGTTTGTTTGTACAGCGGCGTTTCAATTTTTTCCATTTTCCATGTCCTGTTTTTTAAAGTGTGAATATTATATTTTTAAATTTTTTTTTCAATTCTCAATTAATATTTTAGTTAAAATCATTATAAATTTTAATTTTAAAATCAATCCATAAAGAAAAATGATTATTTTTTAATCAAAAATAAAAAAAATAATAATTAAATATAATATTATAATTAAAAAATTTTAACGTAGTTTTGTTCTACCGAACTCTTGGCATAGCGCGAGCAACTGGCTAATTCACTATAAAGGAGAAAGGCGAGTATGAAATACTAAGTTCTAATTTAATCCTTATATTTTATATGATTTTATAAGTTAGTCCCTCTTTTTTTGAAAAGCATAAGTGATTGTTTTTCTTAAAAGGTGTAGAGAAATATCTTGATATATATATTTATATATCTTTTTTTCATCTCTTAATAAAATATACTCAATTTGTATTTTAAACTAAAGTTTAATTATAACATGAGCTTTCAATTGATTTTATTTTTAAAAAAAATTAACAATTAATATGTTGCAAGAAATTGTGATTCAAAGTTCACTACTAGAAATTCGGCATATAGCGAGGGATTTTTCCGTCGCTATAGATAATTAACGACAGATTAAAGATAATATAGATTTCATCGCTAATGTGGTAGTCGGTATTTCCTTAGCAACCAAATTTTTTTTTTTGCTAAATCGATTTAAATCAATCGTCTATAATATCTATTATCCGTCGTCATATCAACGCTATTTTCGCTTCTATCCATTGCTATTTAGCGATGGAATGGGGTGTTGCTAAATTATATTCACTAAAATTCTCGTAATTTAGTTGCTAAATCCATCGCTAAATGAAGGAAGTTTTAATATTTTTTAAATTAATAGTTGTATATTATTACTTTTTTTATTTAATAAAATTAAACAACTATAACCAACACCTTATTTAAACATAATATATTATTTAATAAAATTAAAATAGTATAAATTAAAATAAAATAAATATATAAATACATTAAGGTGTATAAAAACACTAAAAACTTTTTTTTTAGAAGAAAAGAAATCTATTCCTTATTATCACATCTCCTGCCTCATCTTCCGACTATTGGGTGTTGAGAAGAACGACGGACTCTAGGTGGTGGGAGGTCGAGCTGGAGGGATGCGAGTCTACTACAAGTTTTGTATCAACCCCCATCATCGTCTGCAGTCGACTCGTATGGTACTAACTTGGTCGACCTATTGTTGAATGGTAGCCTCCATCCCCTTAATCCTATCTTCGTATTGGAGAGAAACCTCTTACATATTACCACCAGGATCCTATGAAGTGGTAGAGGAGGAGTTAACGCCGAATGTGAATAACACCGGGATGCATAAGTTCCATTGCGAGTACACTCTTTGCTTCTTTTCCCTTCTACGGCATCCAAATATATCTTAGACATGTCGATTTCGTGAGACAATGAATCACACTCTTCTTGCTCATTAGTAGCTATTTCTTATATTGACTACACGTGTTTTTATGTCATTGAAATAATTATAATATTAAATCATGAATATATTTTTTAGATTATATCGGTAGATGTATATATATTTTAAAAATATAAAACTTACCACCATCGTACTGCGATCGCCTATTGATGAATAACTCATTTTTCCTCTAGTGAGTGGTAATGAATAGCTCGTAAGGATTTGAGTTATGACCCAATTCATTATGCTGAAAAATAGACAAAAATAATATGAGATGCAATAAATACAAAAATTAATTTATAATATAATAGATAATATAGGATTTATCAAATGCTTAGTGTACTCAATCAAAAAAATGGACCTTTAGTATGCTTGGGTGGACCAACCCTAACAAGACCCATGTAATACCCGATACCGGCTAAAACTAAAATTTAATAAAATTAGAAATATTAAAAACATATGAAAAATATTTTGAGGACATGGAATAATCTATAAAGGGTTGAAAAAATATTCAAAGCGAGTTAAAATAGTCTTCCTAATGCTCAATTAGTATTTTGTTGATTTTATGGTGTATGAATAAGGACTTTTATGTGAAATAATTATTTTAGGCATGTTGTATGTGCATGAAAAATGTTTTGATTGCATAGAATATTTTCTAGAAGAGTGTTAGATTATTCTATATTGTTGAATGAATTTGCTAGTATTCTATGAATATTTTATTTAAATTTTACTATGCATGAATAGTATTATTGAAGTAAATTAATTAATTTAAGTTCTTTAAAAGTATAAGAAAATTACCCCAAGGATAAAGAAAAAATCATTTAGGATGTGTAGAAATATTTCATAAGTTTAGATGAATTTTTCCATACATAAGGAATATTTTTTTATAGGAAAAATGTACTTTTACACTAAATAATTAAATTGGAGGCCTAACTAAAGATATAAAAATTATGTGAATGATGATTAATTTCTTTTAAGAAGTGTTTGAATTTAATATGAAAAAAAAATTAAATTTTGAAAAGGCATGGAATAAAATTTTAGAGTTAGGAACCTAATTGCATAGAAACTAAGGACCTAATCGCATAAAATTAAAAATTTAAACTTTCAAATTAAATTAGTTATAAACTTTAGGAGTTAAAAATTTGTTAAAAAATCTTTAAAGAAAGGGCCTAAAGTAATCAATTGAAAAATTGAGGGATGTATGGAGGAGTAATTAAAGATGTAAGAGGAGTAATTTGAGAAAAGATTAGTAAATTAAGAGACCAAAATCAAGTAATTTTTAGAGGAATTTTTATTCCTTTTAGCTGACTTCTAGCAACATGATTAGGGGTTAATTAATGAGCTTTGACTAAGATAAAAAGAAGGGGTTAGACTTAGGCAAGATGGAAGGCCAAAATTAAAAGAAATGTTAGTGGCCAAGATTAATCCATTTGAAAGGTTAGGATTTAAAGATAATTTAAGGGCTAGGATCACACCAACTTACAGCAAACCAAGGGTAGAGATGAGGTCAAAGGCCCAACCAGAACTTGCCTATAAATATGGGTGCAAGAAAATAAAGAAAATCCAAGAAAAATCACAAAATACAAAGGAAACTCTTGCAAATTTGCTCTAAGAATTTCCACTCAAAAACTCACCTAATCAACCTCAAACACTCTAAACCAACCAATTAAGCAAGAAAATTAGGCTATAAGATCAAAATTCATTAAGGGGAAAAATTATGGTTTAGGTCTGAATTGGGTGGAGAAGAAGGAGGAAGAAATTCTTCAAATAATCCAATGTTTCAAGGAAAATTGGGAGCTTATTTATGTAATTTAACTTCATTTACAACACAAAAAGTGTTTAATTCATGCCAATTGATGTGTTAGATGTCTTAATTTGTGATTTTTAGATCTAATTTTGAAAATTAGGGTTAGGGTTCTCGATGAGAAAAAATTAAAAAAAAATGAAATTAAGCTAGAAATTCATTAAATTAAGGTTGAAATATGTCAATTGAGCTTGAAATTGAGGTTTAGAAATAAAAAATTTCTAGGTTAGGAAGTGCCAAACTTTCGACCCAAAATAGCAAATTAAGGGTTTTTGATCCTTTAACCTAATTGATGTTTTATGGCTTGATTATATGTTAATTATGTGTGAATTAGTGTTTCGAAGGAAAAATTGCATTAAACTTGAAGAAAATTCAATGATTTTCCTAAGATATCATTCGACCTAAATTTCAAATTTTTATAGTTTTGATTCCTTCACTTAATTCATAAATTATTAGTTAATTATTAGTTGAATAAGTATGATTTGATGGATGAAGGTGAACATTCCCATGAAAATTGAAGAATTTTACCTAAATTAGCTTAGGCCCAATTTCAACCCATTAAGGCCTAAGATTTTATGCATGTATTTGACCCATGAATGTTAGATGAATTTAATTCTTGATGTTAATGTATAATTAAATAACTTAGTATTAGAAATTGGTGATGAGTTAAGAAGAAAATAATGAGGCTAGTGCTTAGGGTAATATTCGGCCCAAATGAAAAATAGATTGGGGTTTAAGTTTCATTGACTTCGAATGCTTCAAATAATCAATTTAGACTTAGAGTAATGTAATGAGATGAGTTAGAATGAAAAATTACATTAAAATTAGAAAAATTAGCTTAAATTACTTAAATTAGGGTTTATACCCAACAAGGCTCAATTTAAAGTTTATACATATAATTGATCAATAAATGTCTAATTGAGTTATTTCTTGATGTCAAGATATACTTGGATGAAATTATATGAGAAATTAGTATTGAATTTGGAAGAAAATATTTGGATGAAATTATAAGGGTGTGGTTAGTGATAATGGTTTGAAATGATTTTATTAAGGTAATGTTTATAGTGTATTTTATGTTGCTAAATTGTATATTTTCATGGCATAAATACATCTTACCCATGGCATGCATTTCATGGAACAATAATAGTTATGCATTTTCGGTAAAATGCATAGGCATATCTAATTTTATGAAAAAATGTTTAAAGTCATGAAAACATGTTTTTATGTTATTGTTTTCCAATAGAAATTGGAAATATTTCATGAAATATGATTTTCATGACTTTGAGGATTTCTATGAGGAGGGCTTCATGGGTTTTCATACTTTTATGATAAATGGTTCGGGATCGGACAAGTATAGATGTGCACTTTTAGAGGTTCAATAAGGTGTATCTACAAATAGGTCTAGTTCACTAAGCATACCATGGAAACCCTATAGTATCCGTGATGGGACATGTCCAAAGATAGAAAAGAATTTTTAAACCGATGATGAAAAGCATTTATGACATGAAAAGGATTTACTACAAGCATACAAATGGTTTATATATACATTTTCATTCACATGCATAACATGCCTAGGTTAACTTAATGAGTTATCACT